GAAAAAAAATCATAACTTAAAAGTACTACATCAAATAGTCAATGTTATTGTCATTCTTAGTGTTGAACTGATTTTTTTTTGCATTAATATTAATTTGATTTTGATTGAAGGTTTATTATACCTACCAACATTTATTGACTATAATCTTTATTGAACTATTTAGAATTCTAAGTTTCAAATTTGAAATAACATATTAAAATTAAAAACTGAAAAAGTATAAGAAGTACATAAATTATATCAAAGGAAATATTTTTATATATAAAATAAAATTTATAAAATTATATGTATAATACCGAATTAGTTTGGTCTCAAATTATTTTTTAAGTTAAAACCATAACAACCTAAATATATAAAGTCATATTCTATTTTTCAAATTAATTCAAAGACAAATCATCAGTTAGAATTCTTTTTAATTTAACTCAATTTACAATTTAATTTGATTTGTCGATTTCATTTTATACGTTCCTAATTTCTATGCCAGGATGGTCAAACAAATAGAATCAATAATTTAATATAATATGGCACATGCAGATACCCTTTCCTTTCTTTGATTCTACATATTATTATATTACGATAGCTTTATATATTATTATCATTAATTATAAAAAATGGAAAGAATTTTTTTACTTATTTATTGTTGTAAAAGAATCATGTCTTATTTCACATAGTGGCGTGAGCACCTACGTAAAGGCAACTAATGAATTAAGCATATAATGTAGTGTTCGACTGCTCTGGAATTCTTTTAATTTCCTTTTTTATAAAAAAAAAAGTATTTTGCCTTTTATTAGTATTTTCTAGTGGATTTTTATTCTAGTGGGCTTTATTATTGCGTATTTAATTAGTAGTACTTAGTAATGTAATAGATATGCACCTACTCTTGTATCTACTATGGTAATTGGTAAAAAAAAACACTTGAATAGATGAAACGTTTTCTCATTCATATACTTTTTTTTATTATATATATATATATATAGTTATATTGTTATAGGCTTAGTTTTACGACACTGAGTCTCTAAAATAAATAATGTGAAACAAGAGAAATTAAGTGTTAGTCCATACGTGAATCTACAAGTTGGAATATTAAAGATGCCACAGTTTGTTTCTGGTTTTGCTTTTCTTTATTTTTGTTCTTTGTTACTGACATATTTTAATTTGTACAGATTGTAGGAGTTCTCATGGTTGAGACATTTCTATTTTGATAATTTATTTTATCACTTTGGGCATATTAATTGTACCATCAATTGAGAGTAAGTCGGTGAATTAAAGTTTTATTAATCAGAGACATAGCTAAGTGGAATTTATAAATTTGAACAAACTCAATAACTTTCTCATAAATTTTATATTTATATTTGAAATTAAATATGTAACATACACATAATCGTGCTTATCTATATCAATTTTAAAAATATGTATCTTTACATAAATTGTTGAGTTTGGTAGTGAATACAAAGGACAACTTATATATAAGATACACTTGAATTAGAGTTATAACCTGCCGCACATATTACATATCTAATACATCAAAAAAATGTATTTATTATTAATTAACGTGATATATATATAAAAAAAATTAAATTAAAATAACAGTTCAAAATAAGTGAATTATTCGAAATTTTAAAAAATTATTATGACCTTTTTTCAAATGTACACTTTATCTAATGAGATTCTTAATTTCTTTACATTTTCTAGTATAATACTTTGGAAATACTAAAAGAATATTTGTATTTTTCTCTAGGGATGTCCCAGACACCAACAATTCATTTAATATAAATTAAAAATTAAAGAATAATTGTGCATATTTACCCTTTTCGTTAACATGTCTATATTTACTTAATTAAAAAATATTACATGCGCCTTTTAAAGATTATCTCACCCCTTTTTTTCACTTCTAGAGCTGACTCAAATTTCAAAAAATAAAATAAAATCCAATGTCTTTTCTAATTAGTCATAATAAAATGGGTGTGGATCAAGTCCAATTAAATTAAGAATTATTATTTTTCATTGGATCGGAATTAGGTGCCAAAAAAATGAATGATAATCTTTTTAAGCCATAAGACATTTTTAAAATGTTAACAATCGTTTTTAAGTTTTTTTTCCCTATAATTCTGTCAACAAAAAGAATAAATTTATACTATTTATTAAATACAGAATGTAAACATACACCATTGATAATTCCATATATATATATATATATATATACTCTTTTTATTTTAAAAAAATTTCATATTTTCTTTTGAGTCTTTTTCAAAAAGAATGTCCTATTTTATTTTTTTTTGGCAATACTTTAATTTTAACTTTCCACGTGACATGTTTAAGACCACAAGATTAAAGGACATTTTTTTTTACATTTGACATAGCTTTAATTTAGAACCACAAGATTAAAAAGTATTCTTTCTTTTCTAAAACTTCATTTCAAGTCAAACTAGGTCATTTTTTTAAACTTGAGTACATAATAAATACGGAAAAGGCTCAAAAATACTCCTAAACTATTCGAAATAGCTCATATTTACCCTTAAACTATATTTCAGCTCAAAACTACCCTTACCGTCATACTATTGGGTCAAAAGTATCCTTCTTATTAACGGAAGTTATTAAATGTCATATAGATGCCACATTGCTTGTCAATAGGGTTCCACTGCCACATAGACTAAACGGAAAAGGGTCAAAAATACCCTTAAACTATCAGAAATAGCTCATATTTACCCTTGAACTATATTTCGGCTCAAAACTACCCTTCCCGTCAAACTATGGATCAAAAGCACCCTTCTTATTTATGAAAGTTGTTAAATGTCATGTGGATTCCATATTGCATGCCAATAAGGTTCCACTGCCAGATAGACTAAATCCCTAAATCCTAATTACCCCCCCCCCCCCCCCCCCAATTTCATTATTTTCCAAAAACTTCACAGTTATCTTCATATCTGAGTTTCAAAGTGGATATTCGTGGTTGTAGGTTAATAACTCTTTTTCTTATTTTATTATGTTTACGATATCAAAGTATGATATAATTAGGATTTCACAACTTTTCCCTCATTTCGGCGCTAATATTTCATAACTTTCTTCGGAGCTAAGTTTCAAAGTGGATTTTCGTTGCTGTAAACACAATAAAAGAAGAAAAAAATTTAACTAACCTACAACCACGAATATCCACTTTCAAAACCTAGCGACTAAGAAAATTGTGAAACCCTAGCTGCCAAATGAGGGGGAAGGGGTGAGGGAAAAACGAGTAATTAAGATTTAAGGATTTAGTCAATGTGGCAGTGGAACCCTATTGGTGTGCAATGTAACATTCATGTGGCATTTAAGCACTTTTGCTAATAAGTGGTCACTTAATTTGACCCCATAATTTGACGGGATAGTTTTGAGCCGAAATATAATTTATGTGTATATATAAACTATTTCAGATAATTTAAGGATACTTTTGACCCTTTTCCGTGATAAATATAAATATATAGAAGAGTCAGTTTTCAACACGACGGCTTGTTTGTCATTTAGTTTTAAAATAAGGATATTTTGGTCATTTGATTCTAGCAAGATTATATATGCATTTAGGCCTTATTTGTTTGCACCTAATGGAGGTCTGGATCTTAATAATTCAGATTTAGCCTATTAAGTACGTTTGATTTTTAGATCTGAATTCAAATCATTCAGATTCAGCCCATTAAGTTCATTTGTTTTATTTTTAAGAAAAACCTCTTGATGGGTCTGAAGAGGTCTGAATGAATCAGATCTATAGGAGTCTCTTAACAACATTTAGACTCATTTAATAAGTTATCAAATAATAACATCACTTCTCTACTTTAAGCGTGCTTTTTTATCTTATAACTAAAAACTTTCTTTCTCTTTCTTCTCAAGCAAACACCACTTTTCCCTTCTTAAATTGGTAAGTTTTCATAAATTCTTTCAATTTTTTTATACTAATAATTTTCTTGTATTGACTGTGTCAAGAATAGTGTTGGTGTAATGATGTTTATCAAGGTTTCTGAATGAAAAAAATTGTACTCCAAATCATGATTATTAAAACTTCTTTTTAATCAAAAGTGATATAGTTTGTTTAAATGAAATTTTTATGATATTTTATTAATTTAATGGTAATTTCACATGTACATTGAGATATTGAAAACAAACAACATAAATTATTTAGTGTTCAAATTTAGAGATGACGTCTTAGTATTTAAGTGAGTATTCAGATGAAAACACCTGAATCTTAATGCAAATCATATTTAGATTCAGACCTGTTAATTTTAATGAAAACAAATAAAGCCTCGGATGCGCGTCTTGCATTTTGCTTCTGAATAAACACGTAGCAGCTTTCTTCTTTGTCTCTATGTCTGTTTTTCTGCGTCTCTGTTTAGCTATATTTACTAAAAATAAAAATAAAAAAGTCATTCATAAATAGTTGCCTCTTGAATAGTTGAATGAGACACCTTTCTATTGATTTGCTTAGCTTGTTGATAGCTTAACGATCCATTCGGGTAATAATTGTGATCTACTGTTGAGCCGTATCGACAAAAAAAATTATTTCCCCGGTCTATAGGTATGCACCTCTGTTTTGATGAAATAAATTTAAGGCATAATATATAAATATGTTTTTAAATTAAATTTTAAATTATATTTATGTCTTTCAATTTTGGATGTGTGCAAATACATTTAAATTTGTATAAAGTTGAATAAATAGACACACGTGTCATCCTACATGTCATTTGTTGTCCTATGTGTATTGTGACATGTAGGACTCATGTATTTATTTATTTAAAAATTAGACAGTTAAAGTGTCTGTTTGTTCATTATAAAAATTGAAGATCAAAACTAAAATTTAATCGAGAGATACTAGTAGAAGAATATTGCCCGTTTTGCCCTTAGACTTAAAAAGCATAATGGAAAGGTAAGTAAGGAGGAAAGTCACGTTATCATTACGTCAGATATTTGTAGTCATCAAATACGTCATATATCTATATATAAATATAACACAACAATCCTCTCAATTTTCTCATAACATATTTTTCTCTCTCCTATTCAGGATTTTGTAACAAAAACCTATATCCATCCTCTATTTACAGAGTTCAAAATGGGAGATGTCGATCGTATTGAGCGATGTTTTTCTTCATTCAAAATTATCCCCATTAATGACGATACTCTTCACTCCGAAGGGACTGGTTTGAAAGAAATAGAGAGTTGGTTACCCATAACGGAATCCAGAAAAGGGAATGCTTATACGGCAGCGTTTCATCTCTTTTCTTCCGCTGTTGGAACTCCGGCGCTTGTGCTACCCTTTGCTTTCACCTCACTCGGATGGTACGTCTCTCCGTTCATTTTTATTTATTATTCATCCTATAATTATTTTTAAAAATAATATCTTCATTTTTATTTTTCTGATAATTTATTTTTTCTATAATATCCACAATTTATTAAAATTGAGATATAAGTATTTTCTTAATAGAGTAATAGACTTACTACCTTTACCTTTAAGTGATGTTTATTATTAGGTTTTCTAAAATAATCAGAATAGTAAGTCACTAATGCTATGAGGGTGGTCTAATGATTTGGGTCTGAGAAGTTTGAAATCTCTTGTCAATAAAAATAAGAGAATTTTTTCTGGACCAAGCTCATCGCATCAGGCTTACCTAATATAAATTATCGCTCATGTTTAATTTTTAAGTTAGTGCATAAAATTAGGAGTTTCATCTGTGGACACGTAAAGGTTGTGTGGGTTTTTTTTTTGTTTGTAAAAAAAGGAATTAATGCTAAGGATAAGTATATAATATATAAAAGATATTCTTTCCGAAAAGATGAACGAAAATTTTACGGGGTAAGAAATTTTTGTAATTAAAAATAACTTTGAGTTTTGTACTCATAAGTATGAAATTAAATATACGTTTTTAATGTCTTTTACATGTTGCATGCTATATTAAGTAAATATTTTTTATATAAACATCAACTAAAATGAAACGGAAATAAATTTAACAACCCTTAAAGGAAAAGTAATCCAAGACTAGGCAGTTAATAATTTTAATGTATTGACCCTATAAAGTAAGTCATTGTCTGTTTAAAGAAATTGCAATATTTGTATATTTAATTAATTTCTTTTTTTTTCATGCTTTTGGTGTGATGTAAGTAAAAAAGTTTGATTAAAATTGTGGAGGAATCTACATACGTAAAAGATTTTCTTTTCCCATTGTTTGCCACTACGTTTGATATACTTTTGGTCCAGGAGATTTTTCTGCAAAGAAATAAAATAATATCCCAAATGGAATATAATTCAAATAAGGCACGCTAATGTGTATACTCACTTCATTTGAATTTACATGATGGTTTAAATTAACTTGAAATGTTAAAAAATATATATTTTGAAAATCATGAGCTTTTTATAATTATAAATTATTTAACTTATGACCTTAAACATGCATTTGTGTTTGTTAAAAAAGAATATAACATTACAAGTAAAATAGAAAAAGTATATCATTTTTTTGAATAAATTAATATGAAAATATTATTACGTAAGTTTGAAGCAAATATAAAAGTATATTATTCCCTTTTGTATCCTTCCTGCCTTAATTTTTAAAATAATGTTGTTTTTTTTTTAAAAAAAGAGCTTTGCATGGGTAGAAGGCAATAATTGTGGTATGGGTAGAAGACAATTACATACTGTCATTGTGCCATACACAATTATTTGTATGTAGCTATTGACTTGCACAATTGAGTGACTTAGCCATATATAGTTTTAGATGGCTAATTATTATATTTTTTTTATTGAAAAATTATTCTATATAAATTATAAAAATATTGTACAAAATATATAGATTCACTATATAATTTCTAAAATACGTATCATAGATGTCATGTGAAAACAAACTTATAAATTAATAATATAAATTGGTGCAGGTCATGGGGAATAGTAGTTCTCATTGTGATTTTTGCATGGCGGCTCTACACCATGTGGCTCTTAGTTCATCTTCATGAAATGGTCAATGGAACTCGTTACAGCAGATACCTTCAACTCGCCATAGTAGCTTTCGGTAATTATCTCAAACGAAAAAGTTATTTTGACTGAATATGAAATTTAAAAAATATTTTAAAAATTGAGACTTATGTTTCTAAATGTAATAACGTGTGTCCTTGGTATTCATATAGCTATAAAATTACGTCAATGATATTCAAATTTCACGAGATTGTTATGTTTAACAGATACATGTCCACTTTTTGAAACTAATGGAAACGTATAATTATTTCAGGAGAAAAATTGGGAAAGTGCCTTTCCATTTTCCCAACAATGTATCTATCAGGGGGCACTTGTGTCATGTCTATTATAGCAGGGGGACGTACCCTACAACTTTTCTACAATACAATATGTGAAAATGATCAACATTGTCTACACAAATCACTGAGTGGAGCTCAATGGTTCTTAGTGTTTGTGTGTCTTGCCATTTTAATTGCCCAATTTTTTCCAAATTTGAACTCATTGGCTTGGGTCTCCTTTGTTGGTTCAATCTTGGGTGTGACCTATTTCACTATGCTTTGGGCACTTTCCATTGTCAAAGGAAGGCCTAATGGGGTCACTTATAATCCCTCAAATAATGTAACAACAACTATGGCTCAATTTCGCGCTGTCCTAAATGGTATTGCTGTCGTTGCCATTGCTTTTCGAGGTCACAATCTTGTATTGGAAATACAGGTAATTAATTTTGTTATCAATAATCAATATTAATTTGGATATTGTCAACATGTATATGGAAACTAGTCGATGGTTTCAATTATGTTTCGTGTTATTGATATTAAAGATTGAATTCATTAAATTCAGATTCTGAATCCGTCTATGTAAAATTATGCAGGGGACATTGCCTTCAAATCCAAAACATCCAACAAAGACAAGAATGTGGAGAGGAGTGATGGCATCTTACTCTTTTGTTGCAATGTGTGTATTTCCCTTGGCAATTGGAGGATATTGGGCTTATGGGAATATGGTATATTGTTGTAATAATATTATTTTATTACTACATGTTGTTATTGTTATTATTTATCATTCATATGATATCTTTATTTGGCAGATGCCTGGAAATGGAATTATGGGTGCAATTGCAAAGTACCACCAAGAGAGTACACCAAAATGGTTAATAGGCACAATATATATGATGATAGTGATCCAATGTTTATGCTCATTTCAAATTTACGCCATGCCTGTCTTTGATAACTTGGAAAGAATATACGTAAGCAGGCACCTCAAGGCGTGTCCAAGGTGGGTTCGATCATGCATCAAGCTATTCTTCGGTGGATTGACATATTTCATCTCCGTAGCATTTCCTTTCTTGGGAAGCCTAGCCGCGTTTGTAGGAGGGATTGCGTTGCCATTGTCTCTGGTTTACCCTTGCTTCATGTGGATTTCAATCAACAAACCTCAAAGAAATAGCTTAATGTATTGCCTCAACATGTTTCTTGGGTGTTTGGGCATATTAATAAGTGTTGTGCAAGTTGCTGGTGCGTTATGGAATTTGGTGGTTGATAAATTGGATACTAACTTTTTTAATCCTTAGTGGAAAAGTATATATAAAGATTAAAGGCGAATGTGCTTATAACTTTTGACTTTTTAATTTATTACTTTTAATTTAGTTCTAACCATGAACATTTGGGCAACTCTTGTACTAATAGTGCAATTTAACTTGCTAATGAAAGACACATGCCTTGCCTTTTAAGATAATATGCTAATTCCACTTATTATGGTTAGTTTAATGTAATTATAATCAATTAATGATTTAATAGTGTAATTTATTCATTTAACCCTTTTCGTATATGCAAGTTAACTTCTTTTGAGAAAAAGATATTTATTTGAACAACTTATTTATCCTCATAAAGATAGAGATAAAATCATGCTATACTAGTGTTGCTTGTGTATATGAGTTGTATTCAACTCAAGTGAAAATAATATCAAAGTAAAACATAGGTAAACTATCAACTTCACATTTCTACTACCAAATAAGAATTTCAAGCATAAACGTGTGTAATTACTGTCTTTAAATTTCTGTATTAAATTAATAGTAGATAATAATTATGATATAGTTGAAGTATATATTAGCCCGAATTAGCATGCGCTTCTGGATACATTGTAGCTATTTTTATTTTTTTTTTGTTTATTTTTTATGGTCGGAGGAAATGATGACCAATAATTTGAGAAACATACTCGGTTTCACATATGTTACTAATTAATACGTTGACCACCTCCAATTTTGACTTTTGACAAGTACTCTTTACGTTTTATTTTAGTTGGACTTTATGTTAAAAACTAGATACAGCTGTCGATGCTAGCATGGATTCAATTTTTATTATTTTATATGTCTTTTTATGTGATTAAATAAAATACAGTGTCAATTAAAATTTAATATAAATAGAAATTTGAAGTTGTTAACTATTACGATTTATATTACTCTTTTATTCAATGTATTTAGCACGTATAGAATTTTAAGAATTTGTTAATTATTGAAATTTATGACGAAATTTAACTAATTAAGATATAACTTTAAATTAAGTTATAAATATTAGACTAAAGATACGATTTGTTATTTTTTAACATAAAAAGTTATTAATTTAGGACAGAGACAATTACATAGAGTATTATTATTGAATATTGAATGTCATGATATATTTAGACTTTAGTACTTGCTAATTTGTGATTCAGTTAATCTTGCGTTGATGTGTAACTTTTTCTTTTTATTTTTATTTTTAATCTTGACAACCGATTGAAATTATTTAAAAGTAGGTATGATCCATGATAGAATAAATATTTTTGATATAAAAATGAAACAAAATAAAATGAAATGGAGAAGTAATAGACTTAGCCACCCTTAAGTTAAAGCAAAAGTAATCTAATTATGGTTACGTGTCGCTCAGTTTGGTTCGATTTTGAAATTTGTCGATTTGAATTATTGATTGATATTAAACAATTATAAAACATTAAGACATTGGCTTATCGATTATTGGTTTGTCTATTTTATATCGTTATCTGTTCGATTATCAGTTTAACGTTAAGATTTGACACTGAAAATTACTTAGAAACAAAATGACAAACCAAATAAATCATGCACATGAGTTCAAAACTTTTACATCGTAAAATAACCAAGTGTTTGAGACAACCAAAAATAAAAGTAGGAAACCAAACTCTAAGTCAAGGACTTTATATACAAAATGGTATAAACATAATTATTTAATTTGAGGAACTTTCACATATAGTCACTCAAAAATAGCTTAATTACTCTCCATAGTTATAGTTTTATGATTATCATTCGTAGCTACATGTTGTTGACACCCAATTTTAACCCTCCCCAACATAAATTAATTAACGAGCTTCTCAAATTTTAAACGATTCGAAATGATTAGATTTTATAAAGTTTTTAAAAATAAATAAATAATAATAAAATGGTTCTCAAGATTATTCCAAGTTAATCTTTTACGTTTTATAAAGTTTGGATAATATACGTGTTTTACGCAATTATGTATACTAGTGATATATTTCATGATTATTCAAAAATTCCCTCAAAGTTTTTACTTTAGATAAATAGCTTACTAGCTAGTTTAGTTATTACATCCCTTGGTTTAGCTATTTTATAATTAAGTCGATTATTTATTTGGTCAAAATTTAATTGATATGTGTTAATTCATCTCATTACTTATGATCCAAAGCTTGTAAAGCCTAAAGCCATTTTGGGCTTTTGTCTAGCAACCTTGCTAACCAATTTTTTCCACAGACCAACAGCACCGTTAAAAACCAGCCCCCACTCCCTTGTCCCCCTTATCCGATCAAAATGAAGTCACAAAAGAGGACCCAACGATACCCCTCAATCAGCAGCATTATACAACATTACAGCAGCCCCAACAACCCGACCCTGTAGGTTTTCGCCTTCACGCGCAAAATCAGATCGACCCAGAAAAACTCAAATCAGCGCCAAAGAAGGTAAACATCTTTTCGTCTCCCCCAGTTCTTTATTTGCTGTTCTGTTATATTTCTAGTTGAAATGGAATTGTGGTCCTTGTTTTTTGTCATTCTCAATTTGTTTGCTCGTGTGTGGTAGTCGAGTGATTGGGTTTGAGAAGGTGTTCTTAGTCATCTTCGTGATTTTGTATGAAGATTATGTTCTCTCTTGCTCTAGAGCATTGCTTCGACGTATATTTTCATTAATTATTGTTAAGCGCTTTAAAAATGTTAACCCATTTTAGTCGACATAATGAGTTCTTAATTTTTTTCGTTCTACCGATTTTGTCGCTCTCTTTGTTTGCTTAAGAACTGGTCGTATGAGTCCATGTATTAATTCTTAACAACATTCCCTTTGGCCTTTAGAAATCTTCAATTTCGTCGTGGCTTTTAATTCTATATATCCTTTGATTGAGTTGTGAGTTGAGAATGCTTGTGGGATTCAACTGGTTGCAGTATCTGCCTGTTCAAATCTTTTTGAGAAAATTGTAAAAAATCAATTTGGTTCGTTTGGTTTGCGAAGAAGTGTGTCTTGTACCTTTTATATACCATATTGTAAATGACTGACAGCACGCATGGTGAAGTCTTATGTTTGTTTCAAGCGTTTAGTCCTATCCATTTTTCAAATATTTTGTTGTTTTAGTGCTTGAAAGTGATGTGTTAAATCGTATAACATATTCAAGCTATTTGATTTTTAGACGAAAGCATGCATATTTTGTTATACTTACAATAACCTGTATTTATAAGGTTAATAAACAGAAACAGAAATAAGATGAAGCAGAAAAAATTTATAATACAAGAACTAATCCGAGTCCACAGAAAAATTACTGTGTGTCCTTAAGAAATTTAATCCCCTCACTGTACCCAATGTTATGGATTAATTTCTCCCAAGATAAAACGGATTAAACTTGTTAAAGAAATAGCGGTACCTTAAACTTTTTTAACTTCAACGAACTTTAGAACAGCAACAAGTCACACAGACTCAATCGATCGACACTTTGATTTTATTTGAGAGAAAAAATAAATGCAGTGAAAGAAAAATTTTCAGTTAAATTAACTTCCTTTTATAGCCATTTTCAGCAAGGAACATGTCTGTTCAGTGAAATCTGTTCAAACCCATTTTATCCAGAAAGTTGTGTCTTTTGGAAAAAATGACAATTTTTTGGAAAATTGTGTCTGTTAGGAAAATAACGATTTTTTGGAAAGTAACGACTTTTCGGAAAGAGTAACAACTTTTCGGAATGTTACCGTTACCTGCAAATTTATAAGAGATAATTTTAACAGGATTTATTTGATTTAAAAAACTGATTAAATAAATTTTGTCCAAAAAATTTATCAATCAATGACATCATTTGCCAAATCCAAATCCAAAGCCGAGCGAGCGACGACGACGACGGCGCGAGGGGGCATCTTCTTCTTAGCTCTTTAAGAAGTAATGCAAGTGTTTCCTTCTATAAGGACAATAATTTCCCTTTCTTTTGCCGATATTGGAGAAATGACTTTTCATTTTCCCTCCAAAGTAGTTCCCTCACTTTTCATATTCTCTCTTTTCTTTTCCCATTCACACTTGCTAAATCCCAACAATCTCCCACATGAATGGGGAAGGCTATTGTTAAAACATATGCATGAAAAAACTTGTGTGTCTTGTATGTAAAGGTTAATCGTATCTGGATAAGTAGGTTTCCCTTTAAACTTTCCATAGTGAACATATATCGGATATACTCGGTCAATCGGTAGATTTGATATCTTTGAACCGTCAAGCTTTGGTGTATACCTAGATAACATATGTCACACAATCAACCCTTGAACTGTTCTTAGTTCTCATTGTTTTGTTCATTTCAGCCATGAACACATCTTGGATAATAAGTGCTTAAAGAACTGGCCTTACCGGATTCTCCTTGAAGCGGCTTACATTTCACACTTACATAGATGATTTCTAAATGTGTTATCACATACACCATTTGATATTCCCTGTATCAAACTTAGAAACCATTAAAAAGTCCTTATGTCTTTATCCTGATTACTAAACATTGTCTCATCATGAATGAACCATAAAATAATAATAATTTTTTCTTTTCCTTTGACAATGTTGAACCGTCATCAACGACTTTGTTTTATCTCCTTGAACTTAGATCTTGGGATCTCCTGTCTTCTAGGTAGAGTTACCGCCACGATGACTTGTTCTCGTCCGTAGTCTCATTCTCGTAGATGATTTCT